GGTCCCCATATGTCCAGATTTGCCTGGACGCTGCCTTTTACGTGATGATAACAACTAAATTAGCAAATGTTTTCAAATATTGCAGTATTTCAATGATCGTACGCTTATGCTGTGGAGAAAATAGAAGAATTTACATTTATTTGAAGATAACAATACAAAGGTAGATTTAGATCATCAAATTAATGAGAATATAAATTAACACGTAAGACATCATAAGATCAACAGAAAGCCGCGCCTCTTTGACAGGTCCGAGGAGTGGCAATTCATGTGCAGGACCACAAAGAGTCCGAGATGCACACCGAAATTAGGTTACATGTTACATTTGAGATGGTAAACATGTGTGACACCAACATCCGCACCGAGATGTTACAAGCTTCAATATGCGACAAACCCATCAAGGACCACGTAATATACACAGCGATGGAGAGATACAATCAGGAAATACTTGACAATCATACAGTTATTACCATAAAAGCTTTTTCACACTAACTAGTTCGACACCACCAGAAAATGAGCAACTGCGAGCTCAAGTGAGGAGTCTAATCTCAAAGGTTATTGCGCGACAAAAGAATGCCAGAAGAAGGGAACTAGACGCCTCCCACTACAGCTACTCATCATCGGCCTTCTTTTTCATACCGCTTTCTTCACCGTTTTCTTCGTTGCGCCTCTTGAGACCTCTTTTTGCTGCATCATCGAGATTTATGCTGGGGTCAGATGGTTTGTACTCTTCTGATTCATCCTCATCCTTCAAAAAAAAAGGTTATAGATGTACAAATTGAGTCAAGAGTTGAACCTACCAGTTGGCTGTTGTCCAAATAGCTCAATCCAGGTCCATCGATATCGGAGCCAGATTCGTCTCCACTATCTTCGTCACCCAAATCATCCTAAATAGTAATCATCACCAAGATGCCCAAAAAAACAATGAGCAAACAAAAGAAAAATGAAAGTAGGCTATTCAACAGGATCACTGATAGACGAGAAAAAACGGAGGTTCAAAAATTACCTCTCCATCGAGCGAGTCATCGACTTCCTCGCCATTTATGTCAGCTCCATCAAGAATTTGCAGAGAAGGGATTGCTTCGAATATCTTGGACCTAACAACTGTGCTGATTATGACGCCTAAGGTAGAACCTAAGGTACACAAACTACCTGTATTCACTTTCCGAATCTCCCTCTGTAATTGGATTGTTGAATAAGTCAAGCTCTGCCAGCTTCAATTTCTTCAAAGGCGCCAAATCCTCTATTTTTGCGATCCTAAAAAATCGTCTTTTTGACACATTCAATGACGCAAGTAAAACAAACTTGTTTGAAGCCAGATTGAGATGAAGAAGCTCTGGACAGTTGTCAGCCACATGCTCAAGTCCTCCAGCAATGTTATTATCGGAGATATCCAGCTTACTCAGCTGTGGCAATTTTGGAAGGTTCTTGAGGCTTTGCAAGCCAACATGAACCATGCTCAAACTCTAAATAAGAAACAATGTATAAAGTAAACAGAACATACTTATAATCATAGAAACGTTCAAATTACTGAAATCAAATGACTGAAAAAGCTGCAAGTAATGTAGTAATTTACCTGCAAATTCACGAGCTTGTCACTGACACCTTCGATTTCAGCACTTTCGCATCCATCAAGCACGAGATCCTCAACAGTAGCGGGATCGCGATCACGAAGTTCGAGAGTGTAACGAGCCTCCATCTGAATGAAACCATGTGAACTGCGAGAAAAACAATCCGCCTCGCAAAAAACGAACGAAATAATCTGTCGCCGGGCAGTTGCAAAAACGAGTGACCACTGAACGCAAAGGATGACAACACACCGCCGCATAGAAAAAAGAAATCGATTTGCAGAAACTAATTACAACTTTCTAAAGTACTTACACACAACACAAGACAAGAAAGAAAGAAGAAAATGACTGGAAATCGAATAAACTTTTAGGATGAATGAACATCAACCGCTGCGAGCAAGGCCTCTTCCGCGCGCAAATCTAAATTCGACCAATCACAGGCGAGACCCCGCCTCGCTGGCGGCCGTCCAACGGGCCT